TAACAAAAAGTGTCCCTGTTGGTTTCCTTTTGAATACTGTTGACAAGGTACCCTCAAAACACACACACACACAGATAAGGATGAAAGTCAAGCCCCAGACTGTGAAGATATGCAGAGGTGCTTCTCGGACGATGGAGTCACACATGCCTGGGTTGCAGGCTGCTTCAGTGGGCCTCTCACACTCTTACTCGGTTGCTTTCTGCTCCCCTGCGGAAAAATTAACTTTTAGTGGTTTGATGGAAAACCCATTAGTTGGCAAAAAGTTAAAGGCCTAACATCCAAGCAAAATGCACCAAAGCTTAGGCAAGTCATAATACCCTCCTGTCAGCTTCCCTCTAATTAGTGGTTTTGATTGGTGTTTTGGTGAATTCAGGAGGGGTTTCCCCATTTACCTTCCACAAAAGCCAACCACCAACTGAGGGTTGCCTGATCCTGTCCAACATGGAACCTGACCAAGGGGTCCTGGAAAACAAATTCCTCAAAAATGGACCCTTTGGTGAATTCCATGTTAGTGGAGGGTAAGTCGCCAACCGTAAAAGGGACCACAGGAGAGCAACCTTCACTGTGGGTGACGTTGCAACCCAGACTCTTTCCAGCTGACTGCTCGCATCGCCTGACTGGAACCAACAATTGCACAGAAAGCTAAGGTCATTACGCGACTTCCATTGCCCCCTTTCCAACAACAGCGGAAGCCAAAAGGGAGGTCACCCAAAAAGACATACAGCCTTCCCATGTCAACTTCCATGGGGCAGGTTACTTGGGCCAATGCGAATTCATCAAAGTGGCTTCGCAGGACTTTTGCCTCCAAATCGCCAAAAAGATGGGCGTCCCTTCGATCTTGCTTTAGCGCAGCCTTAAAAAGAGTACCAACTCCACCAAAAGACATGCCCGTGTCTACACCAAGCCTTCGAAATTGGTGCCTCTTGTCTTCCCGGCCGTTCATTTTGTTGGCGAAACGAATTGCGAGCACGTAAGTAAATGCCCGAGAGATGTGTATGTCGCAGGCTCACTCCAGGCATACAGAAATGGCTATGGGTCGAAATGCGTACCCAAAATGGAACCCTGGTAAATGGAACCAAAGACCAAACCCTGCGGTCCCCTGGTGGTTGCATTTTGACCCATACCCAAATGGGTATGAAACCCAGACTTTCCTGTAGAAATGATGGCTTGTTGGGTTCCATGTTCATTTTATGGGGAGCAATTAAGAAACAATTGGGTGGACGTTTGGGATTCATTTCTGTTCAATTGAAGCAGTCACACTGGCTGTGTGCACCCATATGGAATCTGGCAATTTGGGGTTGGGCTGCCAGCTCTCGGAGTCTCACTCTTCACCATCTCCCTCAAAAAGATGTCACCATGGGCATGGGAGATGGCTTGCCCAGAAAATTGGCGCAAGGCCTCGTTTTCCATTGGACCTCCAACAAACAGACGCCCAAAAGGGGCGCCAGCTCCACAAAAAAAAATACACCCTGCTAATTCTGCGAAGGTTGACCACTCCCAACAGTCTAGTGGAAGAAAGAACAAATGAAGCAAGTGCGGAGGTGAGGGGATTTGTTGCAGTTAAATTTCAAGCAGGCAGTTGTTTGGTCCCTACCACTCAAAAGGGCAGCGTCCCCACAGATTCTGTCACGTGGTGTTTGTAGGGGTGAGGCACCCCTTAATAAAGGGATCCTGTGAAGGAAGTAACAGCCACAGCCTTGGCCCTTGGCACACGTGGTTGGCTGTTTCATGCGGCTATGAATTTCAATAATACTCTCCCAAAGTGTTGGTGGATACTTCTGCGTGACCCACAGCATCCCAGCATGTTGCTTAAAGCGTTGCCACCCACACCCACAGCTAGCCAAGGCGCGGATGAACATCATTCTGCCCCGGAAGCACCTGAGAGGCATCGGAAGGCCCGCCCAGCAGCTTGGAACTGCAGTCGGACAAACAGGATTGATACACCCTTGGTTGATTCATAGGGGGATGCCACATCCGGACCACTTTTGGGGGAGGTGTGTTACAGGCCTCATGTTTGAAGCTACTTTGGCCCCCCTTCTCGTCCCACAGTCTCCCAAAGCCATTCAGCTGTCGCTGGGGACAGCTAAAGGCTATTTCAAGAACCAATTGACATGAATTCCAGCCTTCCCATTCCCCAAAGCCAGCCCAACCAAATTTCCCCCAAAATGAAAGTTTTTTGGGACCCAACCTACATGACGTCCAAAGGGGTCGCATTTTTTATTGAACTTCGCACTCTCGTCGGTGACTCGCCTCCATTTCTCTGGGCACCCGCACCTTGCCCGGGCAAAGTTGCGGATGAGGTGCTTCACCTGCCGGCGGCTTAGTCTTCTCCGTCGCAAGCTTCAACCCGATGGGAAGGCAAACATCCGCCTAGAAACACGCCCCCCCCCCAAAACAAACACAACCTTTAGTCAAGAAACACCCCCCCCAAACAAAAAGAAGCAAAGCACTTTGATACAGACTTAGCAGATCTTAGGAGTTGCTCCGCAATGACGAGGTCTGCCAAGTTCGCTGAAGCCGAACGGCCGAAAACCCCGATCTCACCGCACATCTGGGGCCGTCGCGGCTCAGCCTGGGGCCCCGGCGAAGTTGTGGGGCCCCTCCAGTTGGCTGGACTCAGCAGGCGATTTGGCTGAAATGCAGCGATTGGACCCGAGTGCCGTTGGGGAATTCTCTCTTTGCTGAAGCAAAACTGATCCCGAGCCATAGGAGTTCGATCGGAATCAGTGACGGATTCCCAGCCGACGGATTGCAAACCTCCGAACAACCGTCTTCCCAAACAGGAACCGCAAAGCAAAGCCCTTTCCAAGCCAGATTGAACATGTACCCAACGAAGCATTCAGAGGGCACATCACGCAAAAGAAACAAAGGAGCTCTGCTGAAAGTCCATGCAAGCCACTCGCAATCAGCTGTTCCATAAATGAAACGTCGCGGCACGAATTTTCGTTAGAGGCACTCTGGTGCACGTCATTGAGGCGCGGAGTTGTGTCCACGTTCCCAACTGAGTCATAATCAAACCCCGGCATGAAAATGGTCTACCCAGAACCATGAAAAGAACTAAAAAGGCGGCCGCAACCATTTATGGCTGGGATTGTCCCTTACTACCCCCATATTACCCGGGTTTTGATTGTGGATCAACTGAACTTCATAGCCTTTCTGAGATTCTGACGCAGCCGCTGGAGCCCTCCTCTTGCACACCGCTTGTCCCTGGGTCTGCAAACCTCAGCAAGAGCTTCTCATGGACTGAACTCGAGTTGTCAAGGAGTAAAAGAACAAGAAAAGACTTTTGTTGGTTTAATGAAAAACCCATTAGTTGGCTAAAAGTTAAAGTCCTAACATCCAAGCAAAATGGCCCAAAGAGAAGGTACCTGCGCTTGCAAGCCGACTTCCGAAGGCAGCGATTTCTCGTATTGAAAGGGCGTACCAGCACCCTCCAACATCGAGCTTTGCTCAAAACCCCTGGTGGTGGCCAATGCCCTGGTAGTACTGTCCGTTTCTCACGTGTCTCCTTTTCGAGGGGTTTGACACATCACATTGATGTGAGGACTTAGTGGTTCTTGCCCACTGCCCGAAGAATGCAACTGCTGCAAAAGTTTAAAGCTAAAGATCCAACCCAACAGAAACCAAGGGGAAATCCAGTTCCCTCTGCAAAAACCTGCCTATCACCGTGATTTCCCTTTGGTGAAAGGAAAGCCTCGCCATGGATGCGTCAAAATAGTTGATTTGGCCCGCCAAGAAGCCTGGTGTTCCTCTTTGCCTCCCTAACCAGCCTAAGGAGTCAGCTTTTGGTTTCTTGCTTTGGTTTCCCACTCCAAACCAGAGCTTCAAAAGCCCCAAAAGCCCCTGCAATCCAAACCAATTCGTGACCTGACAGCCCGCAGGGCCCTCGCTCGGGCCCCCCGGCAGCTCGGGCACCGCCGCGCGGAGCAGCGCCGCGCAGCTCCGGGCCGCGCTGTCGCGGACCTCCGAGACGAGGGCAGACCAAGGGGTGGCTTCCCAACCCAACCAATTGGGGGTAAGGTAACAAACATATCAAGAATGGGGAAGCAACCCCTAGAGGCATGGGAAGTTCTCCAAAACCGCTATGGTTGCTGTGGCTCGAAAAAATGAAACGCTTCGGCACATCGTGGCGAAAAAAATGAGAAACGGCACACCATTGGGGGGATTCATGGGCTCGGCTGTAAAAGGGATTTCTCCAAGGGCTGGATTTCTGGATTTCAATTGACCTCCAAGGGACCTCTCCTTCTGGATTTCCTTTTGGGGATTTCTCCAAGGGCCGTGGCTCAAAAAAAATGAAACGGCACACCCTTGGAAAGATTTCATGTCCACCACTTGTGAAAAGGGAAGGGGGGGTCCCTACCGAAATGGCGGTGGCTCAAAGACCTGGTAAAGTGGCACATGTTGGTATGTGAAGCCAAAGACTGACACCTGCGGTTTGCCCGGGATGCCTTTAGAAATGTGCCGGCTCCGATTTGAAACTGAACACTCAATAGGCACAAGCCGGCCACACGCATTCTCACCCGCCAGCAGCCCGATGCCTTTCCTTTTACGGATTCCTCCATTCGTCCGCAGGTTCTTGGAACTCGGACTTGCCCGAAATGGCGGCCTCAAAAGAATGCATCCGATCGAGTGCCTTCCATTCTTGTCATTGAAAGCACGTTTTTCAAACGAAGATGCAACATTGCAAGACTTCTGGTACCGGTTTGAGCCTCGGCACGACCGTCGTCGTGAAACAGGCCGCAATTTGCCTGCCTACAAGCTGGCCTCTGCAGCTCGTCGATCGCAAATTGAATGACAGCCACCCCAAAGCCACCGAAACCTCACAAACCTCTGGCGGTTCTGTCGCATGACTCCAGGGTGGGAAAACCCGCACTTCGCGCGGAGGGGCTAGCACCCATCGCAAGGCCAAGCCCAAGTGGCAAAGCACAAGGAGGAGGCCAGTGGACTCTTACTCTTCATATCTTGCTGAACATGGTGGGCATGGCACTGGCAAACAACTGGCGAGCATCGAAATCATGGCCTCGAGGCATCTTATCGGCCTCTCTCCTTCTAAAAATCGCAAGCGGCCACTTGTCCCCGGCCAAATCTACGCAAGGCAGGCACGTGCAAATTCAGAACGTCACCTTAGCCAGTGCAAAAAAAACGATCCGCATCTGCACAATGCTAGATCTGCCATGCAAGGAAGTTCTTTCTCCAGTGTCGCTGTCTACTTTGTGCTGGGTCTAATGCAAATTTGCACATCATGATGGTATTCCTTTTGGTTTCCCTTGAAAACCACAAAAAAGGCCCTCAAAAAAAGACCCACCCATGCTGGTCCATCCGGGTGTGCAATACGGTCGATCTGCCCTGGTTGCATTTGGGACACACATGAAGGACTTGACCATCGAAACCTAGCACCAAAACGCCTCTCAAAGAATCCATGGAGTCTGGGGGCAGTCTAACCTTCATTCACCTCTGGGGGTTTCTTTTCCCGGAGCCGAGTTGAGCAGCCGACAGCGTCAAGTCATCAGAGCTGCGTCCTTGGCTGTGAAGCAAAAAAAAAGTCCGAGGGCCATTGGACCTGGCCGACATGGCCTCAGGTTCCATGGCGAACACATCTTTGCTCAAATTGGGGAACATCCAGCCATGTCCAACGAAAGTTAAGGTCTTTTGTTTGTTGGGGAGAGGGGAACAGATGTTATGTATTATTAGTGGGACGGAATTCGCAGCCAAGAAATGGTTGCGGCTTTTTGCTCAAAGCCGAGGCCTGGACTAAGTCTTCCAGCAAACTATCCACGTCTTGCATCCGCTTCGGCCTCAATTGCCGCAGCCACCGTTGCAAGCTGCATGGTCGTCTCAAAAGCGATGCAAACATGGGCAAAGCAACTGGGCATGCTGAACGCCGTAAACTCACATTCAGGATTCAAATATAGCTGTATCCGCTCTGACGATCAGCTACCCTCTTTCGTGCGTGACCAACGTGTCCTACGACAAGGATTCTCCACTTAGCAGGGGTTCTCGTTGCAGCGCCAAATGATTTGTTCCAGGGCCAACCCCTCATTGCCGCTACACACACACACTCACGTCCAACTGCTGCAACCAGCCTTTCAGGTGATGGCGAATGGCGGCTGACCGTCTCCTGGGGTTGGCTTAGCACTTGGATTGATTTGAGGTCGGTTTTGGCTTCTACCTAGGGCTTGTTTCGGAGTGGGGCTCAGGTTGATTGAGGGCTTAGGCTGAGGGTTAGTTGGCTGAGGGTCGTGAAGGGGTTGTGTAGGGTGGGTCTAGGTTTGATTTAGGGTTGGCGTAAGGTTGGTTCAGGTTTGGTTTAGGGTTGGCGTAAGGTTGGTTCAGGTTTGGCTTAATTAAGGGCTTAGGGTTTTGGGGGGGTGGGCGCAGCGTCGGTTTCGGCTGGGTTTAGTCCAGCTCGGGAGCGCTTGAGGATGGGTTGAGGATGGGTTGAGCGTATCTGTGTCTATTTCGGGGAGGGGTAGGGCATTTCGGGTTGTGATGTCTTGGCTGTGGGTTGAGTTTTGGTGGCTTTCAGCTTGGTTTTGGGGTTGGGGCTGGCTTAGGGTTGGTCGGTGGGGTGATCCGGTTGAATGTGGGTCTAGGGTCGGTTTGGAGTGCACCCGTGGACCAAAGGATCAAGAAAGCAAAATGGGTGTGTCTTCCTTTAAGGGTTCCCTTAAACACAAATGACACCCAAATACTAGAGGTCTCTGTCTCTTGATCCTAAACATGCCATGTGATTGATCCCATGTCTTCTTCGGCCCATTTTGAGGGAAGAACCAAACGCACCGAGCCTCTTGGACTTAAGGCTCAAACATATCGTGCGCCCTTAACGAAACCTGGGGCGATAGGTGAGGAATGAGACATGAACCCAGTTGCTTTGGTCCCCGAAGAGGAAACCGCCAGTTGGAGGGTTGTTTCTTTTGGGGTCATTCCATTTCTTTCCTGAGCACCAGCAAGTAAGTGTGGATGGACCACATCTCGGAAATCAAACGCTTTCCGGTGGATTCGCTTGCAAATGGTGTCCTCCTCCAAGGAGGCAAGCAAGGAGTCCACGTCCATGCGTCTGGTACTCGAGGGCTCCTTGGTATTTTTTTCTTCAGACGCTTTGAGAAATTCGGTTTCAGGTGGCTGGCTTCCTTTTGGTTGTTCCTTGAACCCATCCAACAAGGGAGTACAAGGGACCCCTATTCTGAGAAATGCCCATGGGTAACAATAGGTAGAGGCCCCTCAAAAATTGAGAAGCCCCTACTAAAAGGCGGCCCCCTTAGTTTTCAAACCAGGGGGTTGTATATCCGGGGTGCCTCAACAAGTTGGGGACCCCCTAAATGTGGCATTCCCGTAGCTTCCCTTTCAACAAACTGAAACGGGCACCCTCTCAAAATTGAAAAGAGCACCCCAGGTGCACAAAGTGGCCCAGGGATGTACGGGAAGCCCTGACGAGTGACATGCCTGTTGCGCGCAAACAACCACAACCGCTGCCGAGCATCAGCTTGCACCATATCGCTGCGAAGCGACTGCATGCTGCGTGAGCTCAACTGCTGGTTTCCACCTCAAGCCCCGAGATCGGATGGCCACTTTGGCAAACGTTTGTGGTGTTGGCTTCGCGGGTTACATTTCAGCCAAGTGCCCCAAAATCCAGATTCGATTCGCCCAGCCTTCGTGAAAGGATCATGAAGTGTGAACTGTGCTTGCTACTTTGGCAAAGGTACACAGGGAGCAACTGGAGCCTGCTCTCAACAATTCATCATGGCAACCCTGGAAAGAAATGTCAACGCAGCTAGATGTGAGGCAAGCCCTTGCCCGCATCACCAACACTGGCCTGGCGGGCGCCACTTGTGCAGCAAGCAAGATGCATTCATGTGTGGTTCCACGAACATGGTGGGTGAAAACGCTTCTTGCAGGCCTACCCCTGTAAACAGGTTAGTAGGAACAACCGCCCGCGGTTGCGAGATAAAAATCGGTTTTGGGCGCCCACTTCGGAGTTTCCGTCTGACGCTGAGCCAAGGACTATCCGTGTCACTGCTGCCTCTTTCCAACGAATCCTGCATGGATCGCTGACCACACTCGTTCGCATTTTCGAAACTCGACGGACGTCTCCTCGGCCTATGATGTGCTCACAATCACGGCCCCCAACCCAATTCAAGGAAACCAAGCCCAAACGGGGTTCCCCAATACGAGATCCGTCTCTGTCCATATCAACCTACTTGCATGGGAGTGGCTCCTGAGGGTGGTTGGGAACCCCGTTTGTCGACCCACTGCTGGTTTGTTTGGCAGCAAGTCGGAAAAAAGGAAGGGTTCCCCAATTTCTATCATCAAACACCTGGTAAGCGTGGTCTACCCCAAAACCATACAGAATCAAAAGGGTGGAAATCCGCCGACAAACGGCGCGTCGGACGGAAGACATGCTGATTACTCCTTACCGGTTTTCCCTCGGGGGTGGCCACGTACCACGCCGCGATTCCAAGACGTTCCCTTTTCGCACGGTGAGAATTCCAAAGAACAACTTCCGAAGGGAGAATCTCAAAGGAAAACTCCAAAGGGAAACGTCCAATGGCAAAAGTCCAATGGGAGAATTCCAGTGGGAAAACTCCCAGGCAAAAATCTCAAAGGGAAAATTCTAAAAGGACACTTCCATTGGGAAGATTCCAAAAAAAACTTCCAAAAGAGAGACGTCCAATGGGAGACTCCACTGGGAGAATCCCAAGGGAAAGCTCAATGAGATCCATTGGGAAAAATCCAGGGTCAATTGCGAATCCGCTGGACTGCCGCGCGCGAATGACAAGATCCTCCACAGCGAGTTATTTTAGCATTTCGGTAGGACGTATCCCTACAGCTGCTTCGTGTGAAGCCACATGTTTGGGAAGCAACGATGCTTCATTTCCCAGTTCCGATCTCGACCAGGACGCGCCATGCGTGGGTCGAAAATCAGAAACAAGGACAAACACGTTGAGCGCACACAGCTGCAGCTGGCCAAACGCAGAATGCAACATAGCTGCAAAGCGTCTACCGTCTGCCCCATGCATACAAAGTGGCTTTCAGCTACTGCGGGCATCGTTCCACGGCAAGTCCAAAGTCAATCACTCGCGCAAACTCTCCGCCTTGGGTTGCCTAAACGGGTCCGCCTCCTTGAGTTTGGAAGATCAGTAGTGTGCCCGGTCACTCCTGTGTATTGTGCGCCGTCCTCAGGCACCGAATGCGGCCGCGAAAGAGTCTCAGAAGGGATACCGCACACCGAGGCATGTCACGACAGAGGAAGAAAGGCTGGCAGTAGCAAGGGGGACACCAAGGCAGTTCATTCTTGATCTCCTTGTTCTTGGTCAGTGGATGTAGTTCATCTCTCTCTCTCTCTCTCTCTCTCTCTCTCTCTCTCTCTCTCTCTCTCTCTCTCTTATGTGCCAGGCAGGCACTCTGCAGTCCTGCGCCCAGTGGCCAGGCTTGCCACATCTGTGGCATGTCATGTAGTTGTTGCTTCCTTTTCCGTTTGATTTGCCGTGTGTCGAAACTTGGTTTATGTAGCCTTTGCTCGGCCCATAGCCTTTGGATCCTGAGTACCCTTTTTCTTTTCCTTTGTCCTCCTTTGTTGTAGCCTCCTTTGTTGCCCTTGTCAAATCCTTTGTAGTAGCCTTTGCTCCTGTAGTTGCCTTTGCCTTTGCTTCCTTTGTAGCGCCCTTTGTTCTTTCTTTGGCCTTTGTAGTTTCTTCCTTTTCTCCAAACGTTGTCAACGTCCATCGGTGCAGGCCCTCCATTGTAGCTTCCAGCACGACCGCTCTGATCTCGTGGGGATGTTGTTCAAGTGCTCCTTTGGTCTTGTTGGGTATTGTTGCAATCTTGGTAGTGCTGCGCCGTTGTCTTTCTCGCATCGGTTGATGTCGTGTTCCCATTGTAGGAATTGCTCTTCGAACTGCGCGTCGTTGCTATGCAAATCTAACCTGGGGTAAAACGAGCCTACCCATGAGAACAGGTTCCCTACTTGAGGGTGTTTGTTGGTCTCCGGCTTGATGTTTTTGCCAGATGTTTCTTGCCAGATGCAAAGCAGCCATCGCCAGGCATTACCATGTCGAAGTCTCGGTCTATATGAGTACGGGAGTTTGAACAGCTATTCTTCATAATTACTGTGAGTAGTTAGCGCTGAAGAGCGGTGGTGGCAATTTGTGTCTGTGTTCTTTGGGCGTCGTTGTCTTCTTTCGGCGTCGTTGTCTTGTTTCTGTGTTGTTGCTGTTCCCGTAGTCGTGGCTCCTACTGTCTCTGCTGATATTGGCTCGTTGTCTGTTCCTGTAGCGCGCTGAGCTGATGGTTCTCCTGACATGTCGTAGTAGTTTGGCATGTGATTGCCGCTGCAGTTGTTGCAGTGTGCTGGGTCTCCCCAATGTTCAGGATCTCAGCTCCACGCCAGGTCAAGAAGGGCGGCATCCTCCCGGGCTTGGTAGAACGCAAAGCGCAGGCAGTTGTTGACCACGTACGGAATGACCCGGCCCTCCTGGATCGCGCGCGCTGCCTTGTCAAGCTCCTCCAAGCACTTCCGGCCAAACTCCGCGACGTGCAGGGCTGATGGGACCCGTGCTGCGTTCAACTGTCCGCGTTCCCCAAAAGCGCCAGCTTCTTTCACATAACAAACCACCGCACACGTGAACGCTTTTGGGCGCATGCAGCGCAATGTCCCGTCGAACAGCGTCACACCTGACGCAGACCCTTTAGGCCTGCAGTGCGATGGAACCATCAGGGTGTCCCCAACCACAAACGGCATATAACATCTTAATGATAATTTCAGCCGCCAAACTCCTGTCAGGCTTCGACTCCCTGCGTGCAGCCAGCAGCATCTCCCATCTGCCCTGAAATGAGCAAGTCCGTTTCAAAGCACACAAGCACATGCCCACAGTCTGGACGCCCGAACTGCGCCACAAGCTGCGCCCATGTGCGCCCTGCCCTTTGGTCTGAACGGAAAGTCCCTCGTGACGGCAAACACGCGAAGCACAATGACGCTCAGCCACTTGTCTGCTCTGGTGCCACCCATGTCATGGGAGCCTGGATGTCGACACACAGCACCGCATGACCTCGGCAAGCTCCGCCCAAAAAAGTGCAAAATAGCAACTTCTGCCTTGCAAGCACATCAGTAACGCAAGACCAAAAGTTGCAACAGCGATGCACGGCTGCAGCCCCGATACGTTGTTCACCTTCTTGCCCGCCATCCATCGAACTTCGGCTCCCAGGCCAGAAGTGGGCGCCTTGTCCTGCAGCAGATTGTCCAAGATTTGAAGGCGCACCGACGTGGAGAACCGGCAAGGGCCACAGATGCGCCCTTTACAACTTTAGCGCTTTTGAAAGGGAACCGTGCGCCGAAGAGCGCGATTAGAAGCACTAGTAATATTGTGGATGGACGAAATCCTGCATCACTTTAAAGCCATGGGAAACTGCTGTTTGTTGGTTTTTTTGCAGCAGAATCATCATTCCAGGGTTTCTTAGGTGGTGCAGAATTTCGTCCATCCACAGATCACCAACCTGAACATCACAGAAATTATTGTGAGCCCTTGTCTCATATGCAAGTGTTCCGTAGCATCGTCGCATATTCTTTTAGTTGAACCATAATTTGCAAAACTCAGACATGAACCAATATCCGCACTCACTGCCTTCTCAGTGCCTACAAATTGAACAGTCTCGGTAAACCTCGCCTGACCAGCATCATTTCATGTACAACCAACAGCTGACAATAGCGGCACTTAAGCCGAACCCATCCTTAACACACCAACATCTGCATCCTCTAGTTGAGTTTCCCACTTACCACCAGCACTACTCATCCACATTCAACTAAACCATCTCTATAATATTGAGCTCACGATGATACAATTGATAATCGTTAATGATGGTGCTGGTTGTAGAAGCAATAGTAAACATATTTAAACTACAACGTAATGTTGGTTGAACACGGGTATCCAAGCTTGACTTATTGATGCACCTTGTGTCTCATTAACAGCAATTAGTATGTATTACCGACAACTACTCCACTTACTCCACTTAACGTAACGAACGTCAAAACCTGTAAAATCTAAACTGTGCCAGCATCGACCCCAAATAGCCAGAATGCGGTTGTGTGTCAGCAAACGAACTAAACATGTCCATTCCAATAATCGCAGCGACTCACGTGCCATGCCACCCGGCAGAGCGGCCAACACAATTCTCACAACAGAGTGCTGCGGCAATTCGCATGCCAAGACAATATTGCAACATTGGAACTCACTTGCCGGAGTTTTGGTGGATTTGCTGAACGCGCCGCTTCTCAGAGCCGACGTGTTGGGAAAAATCCAAGGGAACACATATAGTATAAGAAAGCACCTGTAATGTCGGCCTGAGCCGGAGGCGTTCAAGAGTCCGCACTGGTTGTCCCTAGCTCTCAGGTCATTGCGACTCCGGCGCCTTGAGCGACGGAACGACGGCTCCTTCACACGCAGCCGCGTCATGGTACTGGGGCTGGTGCTGCTGTCGGTCTCGCGACTCGTGTCCTGCGAGAAACGCGTCTCTTGTTGGCGCAAGATGAATCCAAGCCTCCAGTGACCATGGGAAAAGGCCGCATCCTTTCTGTTAGTGGATCTGAAAGCCCCCTCTGAAAACTGGTTGAAACAAGGGCACCAGTTTTGTGGAAAATGAACATGGTGGTTCAAACGGCTTGTAAAATGGCCACTAGGGCCAGGTGCGACAAATACAAAACCCAGTTGCTTGTTTTGTTGAAAATCAACATGGTGGTTCTAACGGCTTGTAAAATGGCCACTAGGGTCAGGTGCAATCTCCATTTTCCAGCGCGCAGCGCTTGTCGTTCACCTCGATTGAAGTGTGTTGGCCACTAAGGATCTTTCGAAGTCCGCGAAGGATAGCTGAAATGAAAGTGACCAATTCAAAACCACCGCCTCCAAATGGCCCTTTACACAGCTTTGCCACCCGAAATACATGTGTTTCTATATATCCCCGAAAAAGAGAGTTGTGGTTTCTGTGTTGTGTGCTTGGTTTGCTTTCGTTGGTTTGGCTCGTTCATTTGTTTTGGTTTGGTCGGGCATCCGCTTCCTTACTTCCAGGTCTTCAGGGCTCCTTGGAGAGCTCCAGCGCGGGCGGCTGCGGCTTGCTGAAGCTGGGCGTCACCGGCCTGAAGCAAAACCGCGGCGCTTGGACGGGCGAAACTAAAATCCGGGGCAGGTGGCATATAAAGGGACATACCACCGGCCCTCAGAATTCCGAATTGCTTTTCTCTACCACCAAACCACTGGGATCTAGGCCAAAACGGGGTATGAATTGTCTACGTGTATATGTATATAGTGGCTATTTTGTCGCTGTATATCCCCTTCTCCCATTAATCCTCTGGGGGTGGTGGTTTGGGGGATTTTCACCGTCTTATAAACATGGATCTACAGGTTTATATGAGCCTGACTACAACTCTATGAACCCACGCGCCGTTCTACCAAGATGGCCAAACAACTTTTTGGTTCGCCTTACAAGAATCCGAATTCGACCAAGTAGACCCTTCCAAATCGCCAAGGATGGCGTCGGGCGCGGCCCGTTGATGTTTTTCGCCAAGTTGCGACTGAAATTTGAGGGTTTTGAGAAGGAACCCCTTAAAGCAATGAAACGCTGGGATGTTCACATCGGTGCCCTCATTCCCTGACAGCCAAGGAACACCAATCTGCTAAGAGCGAACACAAGCCATAGACCCGAAACACCACATTTTCCGGCTACTCCTTTTTCAAGTATGGTTAACTGGTTGCTCCGGAACATGTTGATCAAAAAGGCCAACAGGCTTCCCTTCTGACCGTCGGGGGAAAAAAAAAACAAAACGACCACTCACTCGGTCGGAAAAACCGCCTGGGGCCGGCCCAAGGGCCAGGGGGCGGTGGCACCACCAGGGGCGTGCTACAGCGCTCCTCACATCGAAACGCTGGTGGACTTGTGGGGACCATGGGAGCTCGGTTGCTTTCTGCGAAGCCCTGCTAAACGTGACTAAGTTTTAGTGGTTTAATAGGAAAAACCAAAATTGGTTGGCAAAAAGTTAAAGTCCTAACATCCAAGCACAATGCACCAAAGGGAGTTCACGGCGGCTTTGGTTTTAAAACAATCCCGGGAAATGAATGAATCTTGGGGTACACAGAAAATGAGACATGTTCTGATTCTGTGTCGCGTTTCATCTACCCTCAAATACAACATAGATAGAATAGATTTGGAGGAGACAGCAGAAAAGAGGTGGTTCCCCCAAGCAAAAGACACCACGCACTGGTTTTTACAAGATGACCAAAATCTGTGCTTTTCTGGAGAAAGGAGAATTCCTTTCTAGACATTTGATCTTTTCGGGTTCCCATTCAGCAAGCCATCGGTCCAACGTACGAAGTCCATGGGCTTTACAATTGGTCGCCCTTTGAAAACAAAGAACCTCCAAAAGGCTATCCTGAAAAGACACCTTCACTTGGGCATGTGTCGACATGAGATTGGTTCCCACTGTCATACCAAGCCACCCCTTCAACTCAGGTGGTAAGTCTTCAAAAGCGCTGGATTGTGGAGGGGCCATATGCTTAGGCTTAAGCGCTGATGGGGCTCACTCATTCCGATTCTTTACCGCTTGATAGTTTGCCTTACAAAAATGACTGGGTGTCAAAGTTGGACTTTTGTAGGGCACGGAATTAACAAATGGGACTATCAAATGCCTGTGGGGCTTGTCTGTCCTTTTGCTCGCTTACTTGTACTTGACTGGGCCGGCTGGGGCTTGTCAGCCCGTGCTGGCGCTGTGTTGGGATCAATTGCCAGCGTTGGCACCTTGTTCCTCTTGCCACTTGGTTGCACTAGTTGCGCACTTCTTTCGTCGTTGTTGCACATTGCTGGCGTTGCGCACACAAACCATCCGAAGAGCTGAGACTTTGCAAGATCCTCCGACTCGGCACACGTGTCTTCTCATGCGTTTCGTGGTCGGCTGCGACTGCAAATGTCCAAGACCCACAAGCTGAACGAGAATCTCATCTAGGTCCTCCAGTAGAGAGGTTAGAATAAGGGTACCGTTTCTTTTTTCTGTAGTCTATTTTAGTAAGGGAACCGAATCTCCCCCCAAAGAAGAAACGGTAGAGACGGGCACCAATTTGGGGGACCAATTGTCACAGTCAAGAGACGCCAGCGCCGGTCGCATCGAGCTCGTAGCCTGAGCTACGCGATTTGACAATGACTCGTGAAGATCGGGGGGCCCCAAATTCGTTGGTCTCCTGTTGGTTTCCCGTGAAGCCCAACCCCACAAAAGGTACAGACGGAATGCCAAAAGAAAAAAACACCCCCCATTTGCAGAGGTCAATGGTGCGAAGTCGGAATCGCCCAGCCATGCTTGTTTACCCGAGGGCAAGAAAAACACAACCCTCAGGGCAAGAACCATCCAGCCGAGTGATCTTTGGGCCCTCAACTCTTAAGTGGCTTCTACTCCCAGACAACTACATAAAAGGGAAAAAAGGGTATTCGTCCCTGATATCTGTCCCTTGAAAGTAGTGGACACCATCTTAGATCAATGCTGGCAACTTCGTACTAGTCGGGAGGACCGACTGAAATGGAAGGGGGGGGATTCCTCGCATTAGACATGTCCACAAGAACTTCATACATCAACCTGCTGGATTCATAGGGGGGGGCGTTTCCGCCCCAGAAAGAAAGGATGTCCGGAATCCCCTCTTTTCTGACGCTCTGCCCCCCTTGAATAACTGGTGGGCTATTTAACATGGGTTCGTCTTCTGATCTGCCTCTCTAACATCCGAACGTATTGGAGCGCAAAGCCCAGTGGGAAGCTGTTTGTCTTTGCGGCTTGCCAAGTGCACCGAGGGCGCGGCGCTTTGAGGGGGGGCTGAAAAGCAAGTCCAACAAAAAACCTGAAATGGGAAACTCAACGCCACAACCCCCCCCAACCCCCCCCTTCCGCCGGGCTTGCTGGGTGCGAGCTACGATCAACTTGGATCCCCAGCCATAGCCATTGCGGCAGGGGCAAAAGGGCGAAGAAAGAAGCTGAATACCCTTCACAGGGTCTAAGACGAAACCCGGTCTTGAAAAGGCCCCTTGTTCACTGTCATAGCACGGTCTAGCCAAAAGCCGGTTTCCTTTTGGTTTCGCTGTAAACCAACCCAAAGGCTACCCTAATCGTAGCGAAACCCTCGAGATGTTTCAATCCTTTCCCGGGCCGCCCAGCTGTCTGTCTCATTGATGGCCGTGCAAAGCCTTTCCTGGCTCGCGATTTGGAGACAGCCGCTGGGTTTCTTGAAAACAACCGACCAAACATATGGGTGTGAATGTTCAGAGGGTCCAAAAGCACCCTTTGGTGGACATCAGACGTCGGTGGGGATTGAAAGGTCCACCAACAACTTTTGGATCGCTGGTTCCAACTCGGCATCAGATCGCCATATTGGTTCGTTGTTAAGGGGAAACTAGGCCTCTTCGGTTTCTCAAAACCCACGAGGTCCACAAACCCTTCGTAGGTTGGTTGTTTGAATGTCGATGCTGTAATCTTCCCGCATCCTTGGACCCATGGGGGTCTGGATCTCCTTTGGAGGTTTGGACCCTTCCAAAAGCCCTTTATGGAGGTCCCAAGAGTAGGATGGATTTCAGGGGAGGTTGACCCAAACAGTGATCCGGATTCCCTCTGAGATGGGGCCGTCCCCGACTCATCAACAAGGGGTTTATTCATCCTGGTCTTCCAACTTCCACTGCCATGCGCGTGCTTTTGACGGGCGAACGCATATCCTTTTTGGAGAAAAAAGGACATGCGTTCCTGGGCTGCCCTCTGATGCGCCGCCAAAAGTTTAACTTTTAGTGGGTTAAATGGAAACTACCACTTAACACTAAAAAGGCTAAAAGGCTAAAAGGCTAAGGAACCGGATGGCTGGGAGCCACCAAGGTTCCACTGGCCAACCAAAGAGGCCCAACTGAACCCAAACCTAGGGGACCCCCAACACGCCTCGCCTCGCTACGACGCACGCGTGCCCGATGCGGGCCTTCAGCATACTCTTGAGCTCCGTCATGAGCGCCCGGCTTGCTTTGCCCTCAGACGCGTGGCTCAACTACTGGTGTTGCCTCCTTTTGGTTGACTTCAACCGAAAAAACCAAAAGCGAAACCCTATTTGGGTGGGGGGGGGAGGTCCTATGTGTCATTGTGGAGGTGTTTTTTGGTTGATTGTCCATGCTGCCAACCAAACAAGGGCCCATCCCCCACCAAAAATAACCCTTTCCGCTACACAAACGTACCATCTGTTGCTTGGGTTTACTAGGGAAACCCAACGAAAAAGCCGAAAACCCATATTTTTTCCCGGGGTCCACATGTGCCTTTGGCAAGACGAACGCATCCATCGAGGAAAAAAGGTCTCCATCCGCCTCCTGCGGCTCGTAGCGCCCCGACTCCTGAAGGCCAAAACGGGCGACATGGGAGGTCAACGGGTGAGGGTACTCGGGTGAGGGTACTCGGGTGAGGGTACTCGGGTGAGGGTACTCTTTTCAGGTCGGTTCTTTTTGAAGGCGCCAGTTTTGAGAGCGCCAGTTTGGGAGTTTGGGGGGTCCCCTATGCTTGGTTGTTTTTGAGGGTTCCCGTTTGGGTCGGTTTAAAGGAAAACAAACAGGAAACCAACTTGGGGGTGCCTCATTTTGACAAACAATGGCTCCACTCTTTGGTTGGCCACTGTTGGCCACCCCTGATTGCTGTCAAACGACCCCCATGGATCAAAAAAGGTCACAGACGCAAAAAGAAATCGCTACCATCTGGAACGAACATTGAGATTTGTTTTTGAACAACCCAGCTTGGTTGGCCAAATATCCAACAATCATAGTGGATGCCACGAAGTTCAAAGGCAGGTTGGGCCATGTGGAACCCCCAGAAAGAATAAAAAGGGCGTGCTCTTTGCTTCGTTGGGCTTCAAACCCTTTGCAAGAAAAACCCAACCCCCGTTTGGTTGGCCAAAATCTAATAAGGCCTTCGGATAAAAGAGTTGGATACTCATGAAGGTGAAGCATGTCGGGGTTGCTAGTACGGAAACTGACCTTCTCTCCGAGCAACAAAACTCAAGACAAGCTCCATAGGACTGGCCCCAGTATTTCACCATGATCAAAGTCACCCAAGTGGTAGGTAGGGATTGAACCACCCCCCAGTTTGGACATTGATCCCCAGAAACAGCCCAAAATGATGACAGTAGGAATGTTCTTCGGGGCCCGTCCAAAAACCAAGAAGGAAGCATCTCCCCTCATTGTTCCCCCTCACAAGCTTCTTCAAGAAAAACAACTACCGAAAGGATCTCCTGGTGCGCCAGGCTGTTAAGTCACCGCAACACCAATGCAAGTTGTGCTAAGGTGCAGAGTGAATGCCGCTTCAGCATGCGAAAAGGGCCCCGCATATGAGACGTTTAGATCTCGGCATTTCCGGGGGCCCTGGCAGCCCAAGCAAAAACGGCCGCTGTGCAACGCCTCATTGGCCAAGAAATCTCGCAGGTTGAATGAAACTGCTTGTTCGGTCCTGCAAGGACTCGTAGTAATTGGGCAACTCCAGGGTATTCGTACAGGTGTGCGCCTGGCCAAGGCAAAACGAAGGCTCACAGCCAAGGCGGCTAGGCGGCTTGACTTGGGAATGCCTTTCCAGTTTGCCCGTCCGGAAGTAAAATTCGAGAGCATCTGACAAAGTGGACCTCGTAGAAGACAACTGCAAAGGCTTCACCAAACTCCACATTGACATGTTGTGCTCCTCCTTAAATTCACGAGCATTCTCTCTGTCTCTGTCTCTCTATGATCTCCAGGCACATCAAACGTGAGTTTATGTGTCTTCGAGCGCATGAAACAACCCATTCGATGGTTGCACGGCCCTTGCTCCCTCTTTTCGGCTTTCTTCTGCATGCGGCCGACACCCGCAAGCCTGAGGAAGCTTGCCCAGCATCTCCACATGCCTCGGCATTTCCCGTTCCATGGCCCAGAGATCGGCCGGACCGTGTTCCTTGGGTCGCAGCTTTTCTCAAAAGCTCCGGGCCAAAGACCAGCAACGGACGGATTTAGATTCTTACGGACGGTGCATGGCAGAAGACTTACCATCACAGCTAGTGCGCTGAGGTCTGGTTGCCAGTGGAGTCTTTCCTCCAGCCTCGTGTGTCACGTGAGTCGTACTCAAAACCCGGTACTAAAATGGTCTGCCCAGAACCAGGTGCTAACCTTCTACCCGGGTTTTGATTGTGTGTCACGTGGAAACGGATCCAATGCAGTCGTGAGGCTCGTCCTTGGAGAAGGCGCTGAATGGCATCTGCACCTGGCAGACCCATCTTCCAGGTTTCGTACTAGGGAAAAGGGTGACCTGGTTTAAGCGCACGTGTGCGGGATGCGAATCCCCCACTCTGATACCACTGTGTCAAACTTGGGGATCCCTGTATATACATATACAGATATATATATATATATGCATATACCTGTGTGCATATATATATATATATATATATTATCCTTGAAACCAACCTGAAAAGGGCATTCTCAAAAAGACGACGCCACAGCCAAAGGACGACGCTCCGATCGAAATCTTGCTCGCAACTCCCCCGCCGTCAGCTGCTCGGTGCCAGGCTCCGGAGGCACCTGCGAGCAGTTCGATCAGGAAATCTCAAGGATTTTGGGGTCTGCCTGTCCTTTTAAGGGTACTGTCTCCTTCTTTTGTTTGGTTTTGTTTGGGAGGAGGGAGTAAACCTGTGTGCTTTGTTGCTTTTGTGTGTGTGAAATTGAGCACTTGGGTCTGCCCGTCTTTAAAACTAGAAGCAGGTGCAGCAAAGGAGCTGAGTCGCCCTGAGTTGAAAAAACAGCTGCCAAGTCTTTTGAAGGGTACTTTCCACTTCTTCCAGTTTTGGTCTTTGTTTGGCGGGGGAAAGGGTACTGTCTTCTTCTTCTTCTTCTTCTTCTTCTTCTTCTTCTTTTTGGTTTTGTTTGGGGGGGAGGGTAAACCTGTGTGTTTTGTTGCTTTTGTGTGTGTGTGTGTGTGTTTTCGTTCTTTCTTTTTTTGCCGGGGGGGGGGTTAAACGCACCCTCCATCTTAGGGGACGAGGTCCGTTGCTTTGAACACACCTTGTAAGGTTGTGAGTTCAGATCCTGGGAGCCTTTGGCGGACAGAATTTGGGAATTCTTTTCTAGGCTGTCCTCAAATCCCCCGCTAAAAGTTTGACTTTTAGTTGGCTAAATGGAAAACTCCACTAGACGCTAAAACGCTAAAAGGCTGAGGGGATGGCTGGGAGCCACCAAGTTTTAAAGGGGTTTCAACGATTCACACTCGCCACACTCATTTGGTAATTGACCGCCGGTCCTGTTGGGATCGATCAAGTTGGCTGAGCCACCGACCCATCCACGGGTTCCACGGTTTCCCACTTCACTTGAATTCTTTAGGTTAGGCTCCACGCTATCAAATGCCTTTGGTGATTTTTAGGAGGAAATTTGACTTTGGAAGGTGTGAAATGATGCACTACTTGGGATACGAAAACATGAACCCTTTTCGAGGGGGTCCCCCATCAGTCGTGAAAATTGTCGGATGTGTCCGAAGGAAATATCGAGCACCGTTTGGCCGTTTGGGATGATACAAATGGAAACATCCCATGAACGTGACTATCTCCTTGGGCCTGCAAAGGCTGGTCTTCGCTTTGACAACCAAGCTGGCTTCCCAACCGCGGCGACAGCACTAAAGAGGCAAGAAACCGACACGAGAAGCGAGCCGAGCAAGCCAGCAAGCAAGCCCGCAGGCAGGCCGGCAAGCGAGCCAGCAAGCTGGAACGCCAAATCGTTTTACCATGTAAGCTCGGTTTGTGCTCGGATAAACAGGGATCCTTACATCATACACCTGAACATTGCCTTGTAAATGGTGGTGTCCCTTCATTTTGGTACGGAAAAAGCCATGTTTCAAATGGTTGCAAAAGGTATCTTTTAAGCAGCCCTGATACATTAGGGTTATATAAAGATGAACCCTCGGCAGCGCCTCGATGCCCGTGACAAACATCAGAAACTTCTTCTTGTCAGTCTTGGAGAGCCCGTCCAGCACGGCATAGAGTGCCTCCATCGGCACAAATGCAACAAGCAAAAATGTGTTTTTCTCTGCACCACGCTAACCACATCAAATGCGATGCGAGTGCTCCGCCTGCCTAATTTCCATGATTGAGTGGTGGCCGCAAAACAAGGTTGCAACGCCGCGAGGGGGTCCTGGGAAGCGTGGGTCGTCTACCAAACAAAAAACTTCCCCGAACCGCCATTCACTTATGTGTGATAAGCGGGTGTGCTTACACGCGTGTGCTGAGCGCTGGTCGCGTGAACTTGAGGAGGTGTGTTTGCCAATCGCCATGGGTCAAAATCCCGTACCCCCAGTGAACATCCCAATCCCCACTAAACTAGACAAAAATGGGTGGTGCACCTACCCCAAAATGGTACCATTTGTTTTGACCCACAGCCAAATGCCAGGTGTGCGCAGTGCTCAGCGGGTGCGCTTGAGGTGTGCGCAACCCATTTGGCAGACGTGCGGTGCTGAGCGGCTGAGCGGCTGAGCGGCTGAGCGGCTGAGCAGCTGAGCGACTGGGCGTGAACCGTGAACGTTCCTCGCAACTTGTTCATTTGGGAAAAACGCGACCCCCTCGCGGGGTTGTGTTGAGAGTTGGCCTATGCCCAGGCCTTCCACCTTGATGCCTTGTAATTGCAGGCTGCCATACCTCACCTGAAAAATGGCCTCACAGGGGTGTGTCATTTTTCGAGGAGACCCTTTGTAGGTTGGGTTCAGGGAAGCCTGAAGGGAAAACCCCACAGTTTTGTGGGTTCCGATTCGTAGATTGAGACACGCCCACATGTCACAAGGTCTCACCCAGGCCAGCCTCTACGAGCGGCTGGCTATCGCTGACGTCATCCTCAAAGACCACCCGGAAAATCTGCCGGACGCTCATGTCCTGTCGAGTGTTCAGGGTTGATAGACAAATGGCGCAGTAGAAAACGGGGCTGCTGCAGGGAAACCGCAAGAAACCGAACCAATTGTTCTACGCTTGAGCTTTGGCCATCTTTAGAAGCCTGGGAGGAGCCCCGTTCAAGCGGCCCGACTGCAGAGTTCCGAACGCGAGAGCTTGCAAAGGTACCACAAATGGAACATATCACTAAGGCGACACGTGGAAACACAGAGAGTCCAGGGCACATGTTGAAGCCTTAACCCACCGTGGTTTATTAGCCAAGGCAATCAAGGCAAAGGGGCCCTCTCTTTATGAATGCGAGCAGATCGCTTCTCTTTGGCTTTGACCAAAGGCATCCCCATCTTTGTCCTTTGACAAAAGGGTATAGGAACGCCTTGGTCACGTGACATACTGAATATGCCCTGGGCTGACTTTCACTCAAGCTGAAGGCCAACCACAGGAAACCACACGCTTGTGTTTGGTCTCTTGGTTTCCCTGGTCTTTCTGGCCCTTGCTTGCGCATTGGTGTCCCCTTGAGAGGATCCGGCACGCAGGCCACCAACGGTCTCACTCTCTGTGCGCCCTTGTTTCCCCCAAATGG